TCACTCTGGCCACAGGAAGCCCTATTCTAGCAGGAATCTTCCTGCACCAGGCCTCTAGTAAATTTATAATCCCTTACCACTTTGGCTTTGTGCTTTCCTCCTTCAGTGACTCAACATTTGGTGCTGAAAGCTGGGAGGATTCCAAGGGGAAGAGACCCATAATACTGGCTTTGGTCATCCTAAGTTTGCTACTCAGAGAGCAGTAGGAAGCATCAGCTTGTCTTGTGCTTACCTTCTAATTCTAATCCAGTAACTGGATTGCTGGCCGCAATTAGGCCTCTGTCCCTTATAGACCCTCCTGAACCAGCAAGGAGGATGCAGGATTGGGAATCTTTATCCATTGTTGACCCTTCATCCCACACCAGCCAATCTTTTCTAGGTGAGAGACATTCAACAATTCCCCTCATTTCGTGTCCTCTGCCCACTCACTCTCACTGACTCTTTGAAAGTCTCTCATCTGAAAAATCTTAGTGGTAGGCCTGAAGACGCCTCAGCCATTTGGCTTTGGGTCCTTCTTGATTTGATCCAGTGTGAAGGGTAACCCCTCTTTTCTCCTGGTGATTTTTTTAGCAGTAGGGACACCTGCCCTAAACAGTCACCTTTGGATTTGTGATCTGTCATTCACCCTTCTTCTCTCATGGGCCAAGCTACACTCCCTCTGCATACTCACAAGGGAGATCATGCCCAAGCACCTCATTTTCTTTTGTAATACTGTTTGGCCATGATACAAACTAGATGATAAATTTCAATTGCTTAAAAATGGAACTTCCAATTTTAACACATTGCATGATTTAGATAATTGCTCTCATTGGAAAATGGTCAGAGATTCCCTATATCCAGGCCTTTTTCACCCTCTAGTCCCAAAACTTTCTCTGTCACTCTTCTACCCATCAGATCCTACTCCTTCACACAAAACATCATACCCCAAACACTTCTAATTCTGAATCTACTTTTGACCCAGCAGACCACTGACCTTCACCCCTTATGTGTTCCCACTCCATCATCCAGAGTAGAGTCCAAAAACTCAGAACCCCCTAACCAACAACCACCTTCTTGCCTGGTCCTTGAGAGCTCAAATCCTGAGAACTCAAGCTTCAATGCAGCCCTTTGCCCATCCAATTTGTCTAGAAGAAACTAGAATTGTCTGTAATATCGGATAAAACAATACCATTTAACTTCCCAGAGGTGGATTTTCAGGAAAAGATGTAATGACAAGTCTGCTAAGAAAAAGGCTCTAAGGAAGAAAGGGTGTTCCAGACCAGTTGGGTCTAGATACAAAGGCGAAGTTCCAAATCCCTGGTTAAAGGAACCAGGCAGCCCTGTTCACCTACCTCCTTAGGCTTTTATTGTAGTAACAGCTTGAACTAAAATTAACCTCTAGATACTATTAGCAGGGTAGGCATCCTTGAGTAAACACATGTATCTGTAGTGTCTTCAAAACAAGGACATTTTGAGGTCTAAACATAAAGATTCCAGTGAAATACCCAGGGGGCTCAGAAAAGTCTCTCCTTTGGCAAGAATCCCTTTGAGCTCTCATTGAGGAGCACTGGCTGGTGGGAGCAGTGGAGTCTGAGGCAACAGAGTCTGACTGGGAGGCAGCGGCTGCGGAGCATGAACCACACCCACACCCACACCCACACCCACATCACAGGCCCTGTCCTCATTTGTCCTCACTTGTCATCCCATGGGAAAAACCCGAGCATCTTTCCCCATCGAGCAGGCCTGGGCTGAGCGAGCGGCAAGATACTGCTCTGAGGGTCTGTGTTGCTGCGGGACCTCCTGAGGCTGCCAGATGCCAGCTTGGCCCTGAGTGGTTGCAGCCTCTAGCCAAGCTCTGTGGTGGGGCGGGGGGCGGATGGCTGGTGGTCCGGCTCCAGGGGACCTGTCCAGCTCACCCTCTAAGATCCTGATGGAGCTGGGCAAGGTGGACAAGCAGCAGCTGCAGGAACTGCAACAACAGGAACTGCAGCCCGGGTATCACCACCCGCGGCCCCGGCCAGCATCAGCCACGTGGATGGCCCCAGGGACAGGGACTCATTCAGCCACAGCAAGGGAAGGAGCTGGTGGCTTCTGGCGAGAGTGCAAAAGTCAAATATTTCCTGTTGCACTCACTAAACAGTTCAGTCCAAGACAAATCACATGGCAATTGACAGCTAAAATATTCATGCTAGTATTAGTGGAGAGAAATGGTGTGCCTGTGATTTATTACAGCACTCAAATCTACAGGATTGCAAACATCTGATCCCAGGTTGAGTGTATGGATATGTCAAGATTAACTCTTCAAACAACATCAGATGGTGTCATGCTATACAAAAATCGTTTTAAAAAATGTGTTCAAAGCAACATTGTTTTGTTGACTCAAGCCTTTATTTATTTATTTATTTTT